GAGTGAGTGGTGAGTGAGTGGGTGGGTGAGTGAGTGAGTGAGTGACTGAGTGGTGAGTGAGTGAGTGAGTGGGTGTGTGAGTGAGTGGGTGAGTGGTGAGTGAGTGGTGAGTGAGTGGGTGGGTGGGTGAGTGAGTGGGTGACTGAGTGGTGAGTGAGTGAGTGGTGAGTGAGTGGGTGGGTGAGTGAGTGAGTGAGTGGGTGGGGGGGTGGGTGAGTGAGTGAGTGGGTGACTGAGTGGTGAGTGAGTGAGTGGTGAGTGAGTGAGTGAGTGGTGAGTGAGTGGTGAGTGAGTAGGTGAGTGAGTGGTGAGTGAGTGGTGAGTGAGTGAGTGGTGAGTGAGTGGTGAGTGAGTGGTGAGTGAGTGGTGAGTAGGTGGTGAGTAGGTGGTGAGTGAGTGGTGAGTGAGTGGTGAGTGAGTGGTGAGTGAGTGGTGAGTGAGTGGTGAGTGAGTGGTGAGTGAGTGGTGAGTGAGTGGTGAGTGAGTGGTGAGTAGGTGGTGAGTGAGTGGTGAGTGAGTGGTGAGTGAGTGAGTGGTGAGTGGTGAGTGAGTGGTGAGTGGTGAGTGAGTGAGTGGTGAGTGAGTGAGTGGTGAGTAGGTGGTGAGTGAGTGGTGAGTGAGTGGTGAGTGAGTGAGTGAGTGGTGAGTGAGTGGTGAGTGAGTGGTGAGTGGTGAGTGAGTGAGTGGGTGAGTGAGTGAGTGGTGAGTGAGTGAGTGAGTGGTGAGTGAGTGGTGAGTGAGTGAGTGGTGAGTGAGTGGTGAGTGAGTGAGTGAGTGGTGAGTGAGTGGTGAGTGAGTGAGTGGTGAGTGAGTGAGTGGTGAGTGGTGAATGAGTGGTGAGTGAGTGAGTGGTGAGTGAGTGGTGAGTGAGTGGTGAGTGAGTGGCGAGCGAGTGGTGAGCGAGTGGTGAGCGAGTGGTGAGCGAGTGGTGAGTGAGTGGTGAGTGAGTGGTGAGTAGGTGGTGAGTGAGTGGTGAGTAGGTGGTGAGTGAGTGGTGAGTGAGTGGTGAGTGAGTGGTGAGTGAGTGGTGAGTGAGTGGTGAGTAGGTGGTGAGTGAGTGGTGAGTGAGTGGTGAGTGAGTGAGTGGTGAGTGAGTGAGTGGTGAGTGAGTGAGTGGTGAGTGAGTGGTGAGTGGTGAGTGAGTGAGTGGTGAGTGAGTGAGTGGTGAGTAGGTGGTGAGTGAGTGGTGAGTGAGTGGTGAGTGGTGAGTGAGTGAGTGAGTGGTGAGTGAGTGGTGAGTGGTGAGTGGTGAGTGAGTGAGTGGTGAGTGAGTGAGTGAGTGGTGAGTGAGTGGTGAGTGAGTGAGTGGTGAGTGAGTGTGAGTGAGTGAGTGAGTGAGTGAGTGGCGAGCGAGTGGTGAGTGAGTGGTGAGTGAGTGGTGAGTGAGTGAGTGGTGAGTGGTGAGTGAGTGAGTGGTGAATGAGTGGTGAGTGAGTGAGTGGTGAGTGAGTGGTGAGTGAGTGGTGAGTGAGTGGCGAGCGAGTGGTGAGTGAGTGGTGAGTGAGTGGTGAGTGAGTGGTGAGTGAGTGGTGAGTGAGTGGTGAGTGAGTGGTGAGTAGGTGGTGAGTGAGTGGTGAGTGAGTGAGTGAGTGGTGAGTGAGTGGTGAGTGAGTGGTGAGTAGGTGGTGAGTGGGTGGTGAGTGAGTGGTGAGTGGGTGGTGAGTGAGTGGTGAGTGGGTGGTGAGTGGGTGGTGAGTGAGTGGTGAGTGAGTGGTGAGTGAGTGGTGAGTGAGTGGTGAGTGAGTGGTGAGTGAGTGGTGAGTGAGTGGTGAGTGAGTGGTGAGTGGTGAGTGAGTGGTGAGTGAGTGGTGAGTGAGTGGTGAGTGAGTGGTGAGTGAGTGGTGAGTGACTGGTGAGTGAGTGGTGAGTGAGTGGTGAGTGAGTGGTGAGTGAGTGGTGAGTGAGTGGTGAGTGAGTAGGTGGTGAGTGAGTAGGTGGTGAGTGAGTGGTGAGTGAGTGGTGAGTGAGTGGTGAGTGAGTGGTGAGTGAGTGGTGAGTGGGTGGTGAGTGGGTGGTGAGTGAGTGGTGAGTGAGTGGTGAGTGAGTGGTGAGTGACTGGTGAGTGAGTGGTGAGTGAGTGGTGAGTGAGTGGTGAGTGGTGATTAAGTGGTGAGTGAGTGAGTGGTGAGTGAGTGAGTGGGTGGGTGGGTGAGTGAGTGGGTGACTGAGTGGTGAGTGAGTGACTGAGTGAGTGAGTGACTGAGTGAGTGAGTGACTGAGTGAGTGAGTGACTGAGTGAGTGAGTGACTGAGTGAGTGAGTGACTGAGTGAGTGGTGAGTAGGTGGTGAGCGTGGCGCTTTCCGTGTTTTGCAGGAGGGCTCTGATGGAGGCAGTGATACTTGGTGCCGGTGGAGCAGCTCACCCACTCGCTCACCAACTCGCTCACCAACTCACCCACTCGCTCACCCACTCACTCACCAACTCGCTCACCAACTCACCCACTCACTCAATCACTCACCCACCCACTCACCCACTCACTCAATCACTCACCCACCCACTCACTCACCAGCTCACCCACCCACTCACTCACCAGCTCACCCACTCACTCAATCACTCACCCACCCACTCGCTCACCAACTCGCTCACCAACTCACCCACTCACTCACCAACTCACCCACCAACTCACTCACCCACTCACTCACCCATTCACTCAATCACTCACCCACCCACTCACTCAATCACTCACCCACCCACTCACTCACCCACTCACTCACCCACTCGCTCACCAACTCACTCACTCACTCACTCACCCACTCACTCACCAACTCGCTCACCAACTCACTCACCCACTCACTCACCAACTCGCTCACCAACACACTCACCCACTCACTCACCAACACACTCACCCACCCACTCACTCACCCACTCACTCACCCACTCGCTCACCAACTCACTCACTCACCCACTCACTCACCAACTCGCTCACCAACTCACTCACCCACTCACTCACCAACTCGCTCACCAACACACTCACCCACTCACTCACCCACTCACTCACCAACTCGCTCACCAACACACTCACCCACTCACTCACCTACTCACCCACACACTCACCACTCACTCACACAACAACAACCGCCATTCGCCACTAAGTGGCGGTGACGTCACCACGACGCTTGTGCCAGGCTATGTGCACCTTGAGGCTACCACGTGAAGTGTCGAAAGCCCGCTGGCAGGAGGTCACGGGGCAGACTCAGCAGGTGCCACGGGTCGACTGACCGAGATGACCGAGATGACTGGCTGATGCACCACAGACACACACACAGACACACACACACAGACACACACACAGACACATACACAGACACACAGAGACACACACAGACACACACACAGACACACACACAGACACATACACAGACACACAGAGACACACACAGACACACACACACACACACAGACACACACACAGACACACACACACACAGACACACAGAGACACACACAGACACAGACACACACACAGACACACACAGACACACACAGACACAGACACAGACATACACACACACAGACACACACAGACACCTACGCTGCGTCTCTCTCCCGGTGTCTCCCCGTGTCTCTCTCTCTCCCCGTGTCTCTCCCCGTGTCTTTCCCCGTGTCTCCCCGTGTCTTTCCGTGTCTCTCTGTGTGTCTCCCTCCCCCGATTTTCACACATTCCAGGGGATGGTGGTGGTAGAGGGGGTAGTGGAGATGGTGGTGGTGGTGGTGGTGGAGGTGGTGGTGGTAGTGGTGGTGGTGGTGGAGGTGGTGGAGGTAGTGGTGGAGGTGGTGGTAGTGGAGGTTGTGATAGTGGAGGTGGTTGTGGTGGTAGTGGAGGAGGTGGTGGTGGTTGTGGTGGAGTTGTAGGTTGTGGTGGTAGTGGTGGTGGTAGTGGTGGTGGTGGTTGTCTGTGTGTGTGTCTGTGTGAGTGTCTGTGTTTGTGTCTGTGTGTCTGTCTGTGTGTCTGTCTGTGTGAGTGTCTGTGTGTCTGTCTGTGTGTGTGTCTGTGTGAGTGTCTGTGTGTCTGTCTGTGTGTGTCTGAGTGAGTGTCTGTGTGTCTGTCTGTGTGTGTGTCTGAGTAAGTGAGTGTCTGAGTAAGTGAGTGTCTGAGTAAGTGAGTGTGTGTGTGTGTCTGTGTGTGTGTGTCTGTGTGTGTGTCTGTGTGTCTGTCTGTGTGTGTCTGTGTGTGTGTCTGTGTGTCTGTCTGTGTGTCTGAGTAAGTGAGTGTCTGAGTAAGTGAGTGTCTGAGTAAGTGAGTGTCTGTGTGTGTGTGTCTGTCTGTGTGTGTCTGTGTGAGTGTCTGTGTGTCTGTCTGTGTGTGTGTCTGTGTGTGTCTGTGTGTGTCTGTGTGAGTGTCTGTGTGTGTGTCTGTGTGTCTGTCTGTGTGTATGTCTGAGTGAGTGTCTGTGTGTCTGTCTGTGTGTCTGAGTGAGTGTCTGAGTAAGTGAGTGTCTGAGTAAGTGAGTGTGTGTGTGTCTGTGTGTGTGTCTGTGTGTGTGTCTGTGTGTCTGTGTGTGTGTCTGTGTGTCTGTCTGAGTGAGTGTCTGAGTAAGTGAGTGTGTGTGTGTCTGTGTGTGTGTCTTTGTGTGTGTCTGTGTGTCTGTCTGTGTGTCTGAGTGAGTGTCTGAGTAAGTGAGTGTCTGAGTAAGTGAGTGTCTGTGTGTGTGTCTGTCTGTGTGTGTCTGTGTGATTGTCTGTGTGTCTGTCTGTGTGTGTGTCTGTGTGTGTCTGTGTGTGTCTGTGTGAGTGTCTGTGTGTGTGTCTGTGTGTCTGTCTGTGTGTGTGTCTGAGTGAGTGTCTGTGTGTCTGTCTGTGTGTCTGAGTGAGTGTCTGAGTAAGTGAGTGTCTGAGTAAGTGAGTGTGTGTGTGTCTGTGTGTGTGTCTGTGTGTGTGTCTGTGTGTCTGTGTGTGTGTGTGTCTGAGTGAGTGTCTGAGTAAGTGAGTGTCTGAGTAAGTGAGTGTGTGTGTGTCTGTGTGTGTGTCTGTGTGTGTGTCTGTGTGTCTGTGTGTGTGTCTGTGTGTCTGTCTGTGTGTGTGTCTGAGTGAGTGTCTGAGTAAGTGAGTGTCTGAGTGAGTGTGTCTGAGTGTGTAAGTGAGTCAGTGAGTGAGTGAGTGGTGATAGTGGAGCTGGGCACCGGGTAGAGAGCGTGGAGCGTGTCAGGTGGACTAGTAGGGTGGACTAGCGTGCAGGGTGGACTAGCGTGCAGGGTGGACTCTAGTAGCAGTAGTATGGTGGAGCGTGCCGGGTGGACTATAGCACTAGCTGGGTGGAGCGCTTCGTGTAGAGTGGAGCGCTGTGTGTAGGGTGGAGCGTGCCGGGTGGACTATCGTGCAGGGTGGACTATAGCAGTAGGAGGGTGGACTAGTAGTAGTGGTGGACTGTAGAATTCGCGACTTAGTTTCGTTTTGTTGTTGTTCTGTTGGCGGAATTTTGGTGATTCGGTGATTCGGTGATTCGGTGATTCGGTGATTCGGTTGTGTGGGTGGGTGAGTGGTGTGGGTGGGTTGTGTGGGTGGGTGTGGGTGGGTGGGTGGTGTGGGTGTTGTGGATGGTGGGTGGATGGTGTTGGTGGTGGGTGGGGTGGGTGGGTGGATGGTGGGTGGGTGGTGTGGATGGGGTGGGTGGTGTGGGTGGGTGGTGGGTGGGTGGGTGAGTGGTGTGGGTGGGTTGTGTGGGTGTTGTGGATGGTGGGTGGGTGGTGTGGATGGGGTGGGTGGGGTGGGTGGGTGGATGGTGGGTGGTTGAGTTGTTGAGTGGTTGAGTGGGTGGTGTGGGTGGTGTGGGTGGTGGGTGGGTGAGTGGTTGAGTGGGTGGGTGGTGTGGATGGTGGGTGGGTGGGTGGGTGGTGTGGATGGTGGGTGGGTGGGTGGTGTGGGTGGTTGAGTGGGTGGGTGGTGTGGATGGTGAGTGGGTGGATGGTTGAGTGGGTGGATGGTTGAGTGGTTGAGTGGGTGGTTGGGTGGGTGGTTGAGTGGGTGGGTGGGTGGATGGTGAGTGGGTGGTTGAGTGGGTGGGTGGATGGTTGAGTGGTTGAGTGGGTGGTTGAGTGGGTGGGTGGGTGGTTGAGTGGGTGGGTGGGTGGTTGAGTGGGTGGGTGGGTGGTTGAGTGGGTGGGTGGGTGGTTGAGTGGGTGGGTGGGTGGTTGAGTGGGTGGGTGGGTGGTTGAGTGGGTGGGTGGGTGGATGGTGAGTGGGTGGATGGTTGAGTGGTTGAGTGGTTGAGTGGGTGGTTGAGTGGGTGGGTGGGTGGTTGAGTGGGTGGGTGGGTGGTTGAGTGGGTGGTTGAGTGGTTGAGTGGGTGGTTGAGTGGGTGGGTGGTTGAGTGGGTGGGTGGTGTGGATGGTGAGTGGGTGGATGGTTGAGTCGTTGAGTGGGTGGTGTGGGTGGTGGGTGGTGTGGGTGGGTGGGTGGTGTGGGTGAGTGGTTGAGTGGGTGGTGTGGGTGGTGGGTGGTGTGGGTGAGTGGTTGAGTGGGTGGGTGGTGTGGATGGTTGAGTGGGTGGGTGGTGGGTGGATGGCGTGGGTGGTGTGGGTGAGTGGTTGAGTGGGTGGTGTGGGTGGTGGGTGGTGTGGATGGTTGAGTGGGTGGTGGGTGGTGTGGGTGGTTGAGTGGGTGGATGGTTGAGTGGTTGAGTGGGTGGTGGGTGGTGTGGGTGGTTGAGTGGGTGGATGGGTGAGTGGTTGAGTGGGTGGTTGAGTGGGTGGGTGGGTGGTGTAGCTGGTGGGTGGGGTGGGTGGGTCGTGGTTTGCGTGGCCATGCGAAGGTCAATTTACTTTTGGGGCTTGTGGGTAACTGATGGTGGTGGTGGAGGTGGTGGTGGTGGACGTGGTGGAGGTGGTGGAGGTGGTGGTGGTGGTGGAGGTGGTGTTGGTGGTGGAGGTGGTGGTGGAGGTGGTGTTGGTGGTGATTGTGGTGGAGGTGGTGGTGATGGTGGTGGTGGAGGTGTTGGTGGTGGTGATGGTGGTGGTGGTAGTGTGTCCAGGGATTTTCGTGGGGGGCTCTTCAAGGGGGTCCCCTCCCCCCAACTCCCTCCCCTCCATCCTCCTCTATTCTCTGGGTTGGTGGGGGGGTGGTGGTGGGTGGTGGGGGGGTGGTGGTGGTGGGGGGTGGTGGTGGAGGTGGGGGGTGGTGGTGGTGGGTGGGTCTCTTGGGTTCAAGGATTTTCAATAAACTACAGAACGTGGATCTGAAGCTGGTGACCTGCGTGTGTGTTTGGTAGTGTGTAGTAGTGTGTGTAGTGGTGTAGTGTGTGTAGTGTGTGTGTGTGTAGTGGTGTGTGTAGTGTGGTGGTGTGTGTAGTGGTGTAGTAGTGTAGTAGTGTGTAGTGTAGTGGTGTGTGTGTGGTGTAGTAGTGTGTCGTGTAGTGTGTGTGTAGTGTAGTGTGGTGGTGTGTGTAGTGTAGTGTGGTGGTGTGTGTAGTGTAGTGTGGTGGTGTGTGTAGTGTAGTGTGGTGGTGTGTGTAGTGTGTAGTAGTGTGTAGTGTGGTGGTGTGTGTGGTAGTGTGTGTTTGGTAG